GTACAAAATCATCTCTTTCTGTTTTCTTTGTTCTTACCATAAGGTTTAATAGCCCTCCCTACCTTCAGCCCTTTGAACAACAACAAAAAATTCTAACCACAATGTCTTTGCTGGCCCATTTCCATCTCCATCCCCAGAAGAGGATAAACACTGTTATGAGGCCTTCACTCTTTCATTGGGATGCACCAAAAATTTCTTTTGATGCCAGGAACATTGCACCTCCTTAGCTGAAGAACCTCACACAATTTACATCCTGAAGACTTGCTACAAGTATATTTACAGATCCTCATATGTATAATAAAACATTGATTAGCCCCTAGTATATTCTATACATCCAAACTAAGCATTTTGTAGGAAAGATCTCATTAAATTCTTGAGGCAGCCCTCAGGGATAGATACTATTATCACCCCCGTTTTAGAAATGAGGGAACTGAGGCTCAGAGGGACTAAATAATCTGACCAAGATCCCATAGCTGTAAGTGGTGTAGCTCGGGGGCTGAATCCATAGGGGCTGAGAGTTGGAAAGGGTTCTCTTCCTTTTGTGCAGGGTAGGTGAAATCCTAACACACAGCGGGATGTAGTGATGTGTCTCTTTCAGATTTTGTTCTCACAAGTGTCCAGTTTTCTGATCTCAGAATGCACTGTCACCCAAGGCCTGGCCCCTTCCCCCTTTGGCTGAGTTCTCTCCTGAGCCCACTGTCAAGATCTCCTAAAGTGGAGGTTGGGGGTTGGGGAGCTGCCCTCTCCCTGTTTGCCCTGGCAGACCCGTCTGGATCTTCTGCAGAGGGTTCACTCTGACCTTAGATTCCTTTATCAAATCCTAAGAAAAAAAGCCCCAGGATAGCTCAGGTATTCGCAGTTGTTCTTTCTGGATGGATTTTTCATCCATGGGCTTATTTGCACACTTCACTTTCTTCAATAAAGGTGCATTACTTTTTTCAATGCTAGTTTGATTGTTTTCAAATTAAGAACGTTTGGCTGGGGTGGGGGTGGGGTGGGGTATAGCTCAGTGGTACAGTGAGTGCTTAGCACTCACGAGGTCTTGGGTTCAATCCCCAGTACCTCCACCAACGAAAAAGAAAAAAGAAAGAAAGAAAACAAAAGGAAAAAAGAACATTTGGATGTAAATACTCTGGGGGAAATCAGCCTAACACAGATGTTCCTCCTTGGACCTTAATATGTAATTAAAAATTATTAATCATATTAACTACAAGTCAGACTGCCTGAATTCCAATCACATTGGTACCAAATAGTAACTGTGACCCCCCCTGGCAAGGTACTTAATCTTCATAAAATTAGGGATCATAGTGCTACTTTCCTTGTGCTATTATCAGATGATTAGCAATTGCGGCCACTTTGCTCCGGATACTGTTTTGTGTTTTAACTCATTTAATCCTCAGCACAAGTCTGTGAGGTAATTACCCATGTAATTCCCATTTTACAGGTGAGACCCTGGAGGGTACTCAACCAGTGAACAGCTAAATGGAATTTTAGCCCAGACAGTCTGATACCAGAACCTAGGTTTAAGCTCCTTGTTTCAAGTTGCCTGTTAAAAAGAGCTGTTGTGAGTATTACATGATGGAACGCTTGTAAAACGCTTAGCAAAACTTTGGCACTTAATAAGTGCTCAATTAATAGTGCTCAATTTCCTACAGTCGCATTAATATTTGGTGTTTTATGTTTATAAAACAAACACGCATACGATGCAATTTAATTCAGCAAAAAAATCAAA